TGTCGATGATGAGATAGTGCTATGCAACACAAACGATGGACATCTCAAAACGGCTGAAATCTTCCAACAGTTTTTCTATGAAATCAACCAAAGTATTTCTATAGCGAAAGTTAGGACCGTTAGCAACTGAACTACCAGATTTTATAGTTAAAATAACAACAGGGCGGGGAAACTGCTGACGCGAGAATCACAACGGCTGGAAAACTAAAATTTTATGATGTTCGCCATCAACTTGGAAGTGAAAGAATTTAATTTTGTTCCTCAGATCTACTTAGTTCTCACATACGGACCCATGAGAAAAAATTGCTAGCTAGGGAACCAGAGAAAATGGGCGGCTGAAATTTTGAGGGGATGTTCCATGTTTAAGCACAACTTAAACTTTCCAAATTCAGCACTTAGGCGCGCGTGGCACTCACGCACAAGCGAGTGAGTTAACGGTTTATTAGCTTCAAATTCAGTGCAGAGAAGCATGATCGCTCCAGCAAGCCTAGTGTGTTGCAGCTTAGATTTTTTGTGCGATCTAGCATATGCCAAGAGGACAAATTGGCCATCAGCTTGCTTTTAAGGACCCTTTGATTTGCAAAGAGCCATTGCTGCTAGTAAGTAGCACGTAAAACTCAAATTGTTTTCAGGGTCACGGGTTTCAGCTCATTGTTCCAAACCCGAAGTTTATTTTCATCAAGCAATGGCAACATATAGTCGCATTTTTGATTTATTGGATGGTGAAATCCCGAAGCAAAATCCATTTTACCAGTACTTAATGCATCGCAGTGCGGAACTGATTCGAGACGCAAAAGCAAGTATAGCACGACAAAATGAATTGCGTCTAAGGGACGCTTCTGTGTCATCAGCTAACAATTCAGACAAAACTGGTACATTTATTAATTCTGCAACCTTCTATTGAACCCTGCATATGATCGAACGATCAAAATGCTCCTAAGTTTTCAAATTTAGTACTAATTAAAAGGCTGTGTGGAATTATGCGGATGAAGAAAGATTTTGACTTCGTCTTCAAACATCGC